TAATTAATCATCTTTTTTTTTCATTAATTTAGAAAAGAAAAACAAAATTATTAGTCAATTAATCTTTCGTTTAATTTTTTCATTTCAAAACAAAAAAATAATTTCTATAAAATATTTGATCTATCATAGGTTCTTTTCTTTATCCTCTTTTTGCATTTGTTTTTACCTCACCCAAAAAATTTAGGTCTAATGTTTCTATAAATTTTATTAATTAAAATCTTCACTTTTATCATTGAAATTACTCATATCATTTTATTATTAAATTTCACTGTTAAAAATATTCATCCATTCTTCTGTTATCATTCACTTCACTGATATCATCATATCGTACACCTTTGTCGTTCAACTTTTTCATACACCATCATACACTTTTGTCTTTCAACTTTATTCATTATTCACTTTTAATCATTAAAATTACTCAAATCATTTCATTATTAAATTTCACTGTTAAAAGTATTCATCCATTCTTCTGTTATCATTTACTTCACTGATATCATCCTATCGTACACCTTTGTCGTTCAAATTTATCACATAATATCATATACTTTTGTCTATTAACTTTATTCTTTATTTTATCAAAAATTTCAACTAATAAACAAATTCTTATTTTGTTTGCTAAAGTATGACCAAATTTGTAATAGCGGAAATTTCTGTTATTTGTTGACATAAACAATAAATGATAACAAAATAATTTAGACAAATTGATAGGTATGTTAAAATCAAATGAATCACTTTTGGAGGATCATTTGCTATTCTTACCTTACATGTAAAGGTATACACATGTAATGGTATGTACAATGATATTACATACATTACATACATATTTATTTGCATGCATGTGATATGTATGTTGTGATGTGTACTCGCTTCGAAATATTTGCCTGAAAAGTAACACTTTAACGATAACTATAAATGGAGACTGAGCCGGTTTTACCTGTTGCCATTTATCCATTCAATCAGTTCAATTTATTATCATTAAATTTTCTGTGAACTTACTCGTCTCTTTTAATCATCGTCATCATCATTATCATCACCACCATCATTATCATTATCATCATTATTATCATTAGTTGTCTGTCCATATTTGACTGTCATTTGTACTTTTTCATTCATTTTTATCCATTTCCTTCATTTTACACGAATATTACATTTCTCCTTTTCTCGTTCTGATCGCTCATTTATTCGCAGAAATCAAATTAAATTATATTTGAAATTTTGTTGAAAATTTTTGCACAATTTTTTGTTTTATTAAAATTTGAATGTTTAATTTAGCTTTCGGGAATATAATATATTAATATTACTTTCAACTTTGTGTTTTATTTATTTTTTATAATTAATTAATTAATCGAATATGCTTTTTCCATTTTTCCGTTTGTCAACAAATAACTTTTTGCGACTTTCAATCGCATAGGAAATTTATCGCATTTTAATAATTTATTGTTAATTATATTTTATATCAATTGAAGAGATAACAGATGAGGAATAGAAATTATTTAAAATGATTACTGGTTATTATCTCTAATATTTATAACTAAATTCAATTCAATTCAATCTAATTCATTTTTAATGAAATCATCATTTTGAATGATTCATAAATCTTGTCTGATTCATAAATTCATAGACTAGGAATGGCAGCTTATTCCTATCAGACCATATGGTACTTTGGTTCTTTTTCAAGTCACCCACAAATTATGCTTAGCATTTCATCCAAAAAGGAATAAATAGAATTTTGAAAAAAAAATTTCAAACGACCAATTTTCTTAAATTAAATCGAAATTTCAAATATTGAAATTTCCATGAAAACAAAAATGATCACACATTCCCAATGTTAATTGCATTTTGTTCAATTTATTCGATCATTGTTTAATTAAATTTAAAAAGGTGAAAGATGAAATTTCACCTTGAAAATTTCTTACAAAAAAAAAAAAACATTCGTAAATTTCAGAATGAATTATTTCTATTTTGAAACGAAATGAAATCGATGGAGCATAAAAATTAATGAATTTGAAAATAATCATGATAAAAATTCACATTAAAAATTATAGTTTTGCAAATAATCATGATAAAAATTCACATTAAAAATTATGAATTTTGAAAATAATCATGATAAAAATTATAATCTTGGAATATATTCCTTTTTTAAAATCATTTGTCTTTAATAATTATTTTTTATATTTAAGGAATTTAATTTTTAAAGTTCAAAAAATACATCATATATTGTCTTATTCAGCCGTTGAAAAAAAAGCGCAAACGATCAATCATATATTTAATACCTTATGCTCCCATCTGTTTGATTTATTTAAATATCAAACCTGTAAAGTTTTAAAATTACATTCACTTCCGTTATATTCTTAATGGTTCTCTTATTAAATTATCATCATCATTCCACCATCAAATGTAAATTTTACAAATTTTGCAATTAAAATATTACCTGTATAATTTCCAAAGATGTTAATTAATTAATTTTTTGTTTTTTTTTGCTACTGAATCATCATTCCTCCATCAAATGTAAATTTTATAATTTTTATTAAAATATTACCTGTAAAATTTTCGAAGATTACTAATTAATAAATTTTTTGTTTTTGGTAATGCGAAACTTTTTTCACCTTTCAATACATGCCAGTAGTTATTGCGTTGATTTTATCAAACTTTCTTATCACTTTTTGCTATATGACAAAAACTATTAATATTATTATTACTTAGTGTTAATGTTCTTTGGTTACTTATTATTTCATTTATTTGCCAACTAAAAGTAATCAATCAAAAATGGTTTATCGACAACGTAAAATATTGCAAAAATTTCAATGGACAAAAAAGGTTTGTTTTTGTTAGTTAAATTTTTATAAAATTTTACTTTTTTTCTATCCTAATTTCATCAGAATCTTAATTACAGTATATTTTTTCAATAGAGCTTCGTTACGGTGCATATTTTTTTCAAGGATTATTGCGGTAATATTTTAGGTTACAGTATATTAATCGGTTATATTACGTTAACCTACAATTAATTTTTACAGTATATTTTAATGTTTTTTAATTCTTTCCATTTGATTAGTCGAATATTCTTTCTGTTACCTGAAAATTAACATAAAATACATTCGAAATAGAAACTTTTTTTACAAATGAACAAATTCAATTTCATAATTGAACAAATCAATTTCAAACAGAAAAGTATCGTATCGTAGCCATCGATAAATAGTTGCAATTAAAAAAAATTAGTAATCCAGAGATTAACGAGACCTATCAGTCCCTAATTTCATTTTTCTGCTATTTGTTCAGCTACCCGCTCGATGCTTTTATTTGGGGGATGCATTAGTTAGAGATTAATAAGACCTATCAATCCTATCGTATTTTCCTGCTCCCCGCACTATGGTTTTATTTGGGAGGATGCGTTAGTCAATTTTTAATTTCAACAATTGAAAAATATACATTTGCTTGCAAGCTATTGAAATATATTATATTCGTTAATCGAAAATATTGAATTAAAAAATTTTTGAAAGGCACTAATTCAATTCTTCATGTTAACTGCTGTCAGTATGAAATCAAACAAAATGCACTTTAATTTATAATTGCAAATTTTCTGTCCTGAAATTTACGAGTTTGAGTTTACTTTTTTCTGACAGTATTTCATTTTATATAACTAATCAAATTTTAATGCATAATTTTTCTTTGGAAAATTTTATTCATTTGCTAATATATTTTACTTAAAAGGTTCGATTGGTAAAAATTGAAATTCGAATTTACTTTTAAATTGTAAATTATTAACGGAGAAAATTTGCTACTTTCTAATTTCTTCTATTTTCTTCATTTTAACATTTTCAAATAAATTAATTTCCATTGTTAGAAAACTGAATTTAACTTATTGAACTTAATGAAAATCTATCTTTTCTTCTGCAAAAATCCATCTTCTGCATTTTATTCCGAATAATTTCAGGATACGGAAAATGAAAGGAAATGAGTTTCCGTAAAGTTTTTTTTTATCATTTTTGTAATGGTAGTAAAATTTGTTATTGCCATGGAAAAGATCCAAATTATATTTGATAAGAAATAAAATAAAATGGAAATATAAATTGGCATCATTTAAAATTTAACATATGGCTAAGATTATATTTTGATAATGAATAAGAGCATAAGATTACAATTTGTAGCAAATATGGTAATGATCACAATTAATGATAGCATATTCTAATGGTAATTTATTTCAACTGTCTAATAGTGTTTTCGTAATTTATTCGTAATTTTCAGAAATATCTGGTAATTTGACATTTGTAACCTTTTATAGAATAATTAATTAAGATGGAGAAAATGATTAAGCAATTAGCAAGGAGAATTTAATTAATTAAGCAAGAGAAGAGGCAGTTTTTTTTTTTTGTAATTCATATGTTCAATTATTTTAAGAAACAGTAAATATAGCTTCTACCGTGCTATATCGGTGTTTGAGAAGTTTGTTTATTTATCACATATACCTTCCACCTTGCTATATCACTTATGTTTGGGAAGTTTCTTTATTTACCAAATATACCTTCCACTCTGTTATATCACTTATGTTCGAGAAGTTTCTTTATTTACCAAATACAGCTGCTACTTTGCTATATTACTTATGTCTGAGAAGTTTCTTTATTTATCAAACATTGCTTCCACCTTGCTATATCACTTATGTCTGAGAAGTTTCTTTATTTACCTTGTTACTTTGTTTGTCCTAATTACTTTATCTCTATAATTCATTATTATTTTAACTTACTTTTTCTTATCATAATACTTAGTAAAATGTGAAATGAAAGTTAATCATTAAATTTTCATTATTATAAAAATATGCAATATAAAAGAAATAAAGATAAATTCGAATATAATTAAATTTTTATTTCTTTGATAATTATTTATTAAGCAATATTCTATAAAAGGAAGATAAAAAAAAATTTTTTAAAATCTTTCTTATTTATCTCAAAAAATTTTTGGAATGGATTCATTCATTGAATTTTAATAATTCCCAAATTTATCCTGAAATGGATCAACTGATATCAGTCAGTTTTCTTTTAAATTTTGAAAGTATTAAATGAGAGAGAGAGAGAGAAAAATTATTTATGAAAGAGAAATAATAAGAGAAAAAAGCATAATGGATAAGATCAGTTGTATGAATTAAAAAAAACAATGACAAAGAATGAAATAACAAAGTGATATTTAAAAGAAATTTAAAAGAAATTTCATCCTTTGTTTTTAAATTTATTTTGATGAATTGAAAAATTGAAATTTTTTTAGAGATTACGAACCGAAAATCGTTTACTCAGACAACGAATTGATTATTTGGAACAAGAAAGTTCAGCATTAGCTGATCGTTTGATAAAAGGTCAGGTAAATTTAGCGCAAGAAGCGGAAAATTGCATGAGTATATCACATGAATTATTGAAACTACGCGATATCAATTCAGACGCTCATCGACGATTGGAAGAAGCATATGATACTATTCGTGATTTAAGTTGCAAAGTTTGTTTCTTATTTTCATTTTAATCATTTAAAAATTTTTTAACATTACCAATTTTAATTAATTAAAAAAAAAGTTCAGAAATGCATATAATATTTTAGATAATGGCAGAATATTTGAATTGTAAAATTTTCATAATTTTAAAATTTATAAATTACAATATATATTTAATAGTTATCTAATATATAATCGAATATATATATATATATATTTATACATA